CAGAGGAGCCAATACACATTTTTCTCTACTTGCTGATTTATTCATGGCAGGTGCTGAAGTGACCCTGATATTGTATGGGCTTAAATAATTCAGCAGGCTTTCAGTAGACCTGTGTCTGAAGACGGTATTAGCTATGTTGGTGTTTTTATGGAAAAACGATATCATTAGTGTGTCCTCTGTGTTTGTGCAGCCGTGCATATCGAGGGAATTGTGCTTAGGGGCATCTGTCGGAAGAGAACGGACAAGGAATACAATTTTGAGGTAGGTAACCGCGCACACGCACACTCGGGCACCGCTTCAAATCAAGTCAAAGATGAGCTGTGATGTTAAGTACAAATCTGAATTTTTACTGTTGACCTTTGAGTAGCTTTGCATGATTGACAGTTCAAAATAAGAAGTCTGTTATTGCAATAAATTGTCTTTTTCCTGTCGTTGGAGCCCAAAATGCTTTTTTTTTTCCAAATACACGTGTGTACAGTCAAAGGGTCAAAGGGTCATTGGTGGTTTTGCTAACTTGCTGCCTGCCATGCTTCTCAGGCGGGTCTGAACGAGTATGTTTGCCCTTATATTCACCACATGTGACACAGTGACAGAAAGTTAAGGCTCCTCATTCTTCGTATACCTGCTCAGTAACACATACAGAAGCTTTCTGCTCTGCCACCAACACCCGCAGCTGTGAACTTGATCATGCAAGAAAACTGCAGCTTTTACATGTGCCCCTATTGTCACACACAGTTATGTGCCCATTATAACGCCCAGATAGTTTCCTGTATTTCCTTTACTTTGTTTGACCTACTTGGCTGCTGCGCTCAGAAAAATCCCATTTTCAGTGGTGCATGGCGTGTCAGTGTCACAGCTGGTGACTTTATCCCTTGAGAAGTCTGTTTAGATCTTTATAGAACAAAGTAACCTGATTGTTTATGTGCAGAGAGAGGAAAAAATCATTAAACAATTGGAGAAGAGCCTAACTGTCCTATTGGCTTTTCTAAGCTTTGACAGTAAAGCCAGCAGCTCTGTTTGGAGCTGCTGATGCATAAGACACAGACACGTATCTTTGTAGCGCACTCATGAACAGAACTTTAACTTTTGACATGAGCAACTCCTGAGATTAGAAAAGATGTCACACCTCGATTTCTTAGCAGGAGAGTAATCCAATCTTCCTTTTAACACAAGTTTAGTTTTTTCTTGTTTTATTTGAATGGTTTGTTTGTTTTTTCCACTTATGCTCACAGGTTGATCACTTTTGATTCAGTATCGTTGCCCTGCTTGGGTGTCTTTACGCCGTTACTGTGCGGTAAACGTCTAGTGCAGTCCTTCTGTGAGGTGTTTTTGGCACGTGTGGCTTTGCAGTGATGCAGTGTCCTGCTGCTGTTTCAGGTGAAGTGGTCCGACTCCTCTTTCAGCAAAGTGACCAAAACCCATTTTGAGCTGGAGAACTTCCTCCTGAAGGTAATCACAGCAGTAATATTACATCAGAAGAGTATATGTAAAGGAACTTTCAGTGTTGTGTTATATTCCTTTATCTGTTGAACTGTT